CCGGGAGGATTCCGCATTACACAAGCCTCGTTTCCGGACGAGCTCACTTGCTCTCATCCGCCTTAGTGGGGAGAGTGAGTGGTTTCTCTAAGCCTTGTTTCCGGATGAGCCCCAGTGATCTCCTCCACCTTCAGGGGGGGGGGAGTGAGTGTTTCTCTAAGCCTTATCTCCGGATGAGTCCCAGTGATCTCCTCCGCCTTCAGGGGGGGGGAAGTCCGTAATTTCAACAGCCTCATCTCCGGAGGAGCTCACTTTACCTCTTCCATCTTCAGGGGGAGTGGGGTACCCGTACTCCACTCTTTGACAACATCATCACCAGAAACGTCAAACACTTACACAAGTTTCGGCATGGGAACAAGCTATGTCCTTCATGGGCTANTTAAAGCTTCAANCTAGTAAAGTCGTTNCGCACTCATTGCTGCTGGCCACAGTGGTGATGCGGGAATACGAACGCAATGACATCCAGCATCGGATCCAAAGCGCGCTATATAAGTATTAATGTTCAGTATTGGGGCGGATGAACCCAATTGATCATTCAAAAACCCAACATGCATCGTTGGTAAAAAGCAACTGCCAATGGATGTTCGGTTTGTACACTGGACAATCATTCAGAAAACCCAGGATCGCGCTGGTAAAATTTAAGGTGTACTTTTTCTCGGACAGACGTGTCTAGAGAACGGCACCAGCTCGCAAAGCCCAACAACAGCGTTGGCAAATGCATAGTAAAAACGGGAGACAGAACAGCCGATTAACTGTTAATCAGCGTTGGCAATGCATTTCCAATTACAGCCTGAAGCACTCCTAAGTGTAGAAAGGCGTCTTAAGCGAGTATACTACTCCAAAACCCTCAAAGTTTGTCATAAGACTGAACAAGCTAGGCTAGGTAAAAGGGATGGGAAACAAAAACTGTAATCATAGTCATCCTGCATTTGCCACAATGCAAGGATCCAAAATAATAGCAAGGATACAAACCATCCAATGCTATAAAGTCATCAAATCCGANAAAGTCTCAAAAGGCAAAGTCATAAAAAGACTAACAATAAACTTAGTCATAAGCAAAAGGAGATGATCAGTCATCAAGCCTCATCATCCTCATCGACCTCGGGCCACCAGGTCTTCATCGCCGCTACATCTCTTCGCTTCCTTGTCATCAGAAACATCGATGTCATCCTCATCAGGTCCGCCGAGGCAATAACGNGAGGTCGTAGTCTTGGCACGATGACGAACCGCCGAGACGACTTTTTCGTGACATGTCTCCGATAAAGCCGAGGACGCCATCGGTTTGAACACCAAGGCTGCCGTCGGCTCCGCACCTCGGGGCGTCGCTGCTTTCGGTCCAGTGCTTCGCTCCTCTGACGTCGTCATATCAACGATTCTCGATGTCTTCAACATGGGCTCCTCCATACGAAGCGAAGACATCTTCGGCATTGGCTCCTCCGCACGGGGTGAAGACGTCCTCGGCATCCCGTCATGAAGCGGAGACATCTCCGGCTACTCACCAAGGAAGGCAGACGTCGTCGGGTCTGGTTCGTGACGAGGGGAAAGCATCGAGACCTCGGCGCCTCGGGTGAGAGACATCGGCTCTCCGGACCAGTCCGCCGGAGCCGTCGGGTCACCGGAGTCCCCGAGTTAGACCTCCTTGACCAAACCCGTTGCTTGCTTCCTCCGGAAATCATTTCTCATTGCCAAAGACGTTATTAACTTCGGCACGGAGTCTTAAAACCTCCATAGAAAACACGAAATCTTAAAACCTTCGAAAAAAAAAAAAATCATTTTTGTGCAGTAATGCAGTAGTTTCAGCAAACGAAGCAGAGAGTCTTAAAACCTCCAGTATGGAATTACCCTCTACTGATGTAAGAGAGGTTAGGCTAACATCTTGACTTTAAACGGTAATGCTGATATCCAGTACATCTTTAACTCGGTACTATTATCTCTAACACTACCAAGCTGGGGGGCTAACTGTTGGGGTCAGTTTTCACCCGCTCAACATTAACGTTCAAAGTCAGACAACTGAGATGGCGACCCTCNGGACTCTCGACGAANAAGTCGGAAAAGCACCTAAGTCTTCCCGCGAAGCAAAGCAAGTGATCATGAAATAAGTCTAGGCGAAGTAGGAAGCGCCGGGACAAGGCGGGCGACCACGTCCTCGGGTCGACCGAGGATCCGACCACGTCCTCGGATCCTCGACGGTCCGACCACGTCCTCGGATCCTCGACGGTCCGACCGCCTCCTCGGATCCTCGACGGTCCGACCACGTCCTCGGATCCTCGACGGTCCGACCGCATCCTCGGATCCTCGACGGTCCGACCGCGTCCTCGGATCCTCGACGGTCCGACCGCGTCCTCGGATCCTCGATGGTCCGACCGCGTCCTCGGATCCTTGACGGTCCGACCGCATCCTCGGATCCTCGACGGTCCGACCACGTCCTCGGATCCTCGACGGTCCGACTGCGTCCTCGGCCTAGCAGCCCAATAACATGAAGGCGACCCGATAACACAAAAACAGTCCAAAGCTCGGTCCAGACGCAAAGCCCACTTCGATGCAACCGACCTTGGCAAAGCGAATGATCATGTCAAGAGCCTGACCCGAGGACGTCTTCGCTGCAACGCGGGAGAGGACGTCCTCGCTGCTACGCGGGAGAGGACGTCTTCGCTGCTACAAGGGAGAAGACGTCTTCGCCGCTACATGGGAGAGGACGTCTTCGGTCACTACGGGAGAGGACGTCTTCGCACACTCCAGGCCGAAGACGTCTTCACAAGCAATGACCCAACAGACCGAAGACGGCTCAAACCGAAGTCCAGTCCAGTCACGAGGCCCAGAGTACTAACCGACTCAAGGAAGGTGACTCCGCGAAGACTTAGGAGGCCTAGCCGACTTAGAGATAGTATATATACCTGATGTAAAAGCCCTTGAAGAGGCATTCGCAATCTTGTCCCCAAAATCTTACAGAGCAATAACAAACAACTTTTTCATACCTTTGTAATCTTAGCTAACCCTAGAAATCTCTACCTCTTCACGAAACCCTAACAAATCTAATTGTGCTAGTTTCGACTCCCACAATTTGGCGCCGTCTAAGGGGAGTCTAAAGGAAAATGGAGTCTAACACCTCGACCTCTGTCCAAAAGATCCTCATCACCGCTAGGTCTCCTCTCCTCCTCAAGGTCTGCCAGGTCGTCAAAGACACCGTCGCCGCTATCATTGGGTTCGCCGAGACAACGTCGTGATACAATGACCTTGTTACGGTGATGAGTCCCCACATCAACGCTCTCGTGACGCGATGTCGCACCTCTTGCTGACATTGGAGATGCCGAGCTTAGCTTCGGATCCACCGGCGAAGCGGGTTGCGAAGCTGTGATCGGATCCACCGGCGAAGCAGGTTGCGAAGCCGTGGTCGGATCCAACGCCGAAGCGGGTTGCGAAGCCGTAGTCGGATCCGCAGGCGAGTCAACGTAGCGCGAGGCCGTGGTCGTATCAACACGAAGCAAGGCTGTAGTCGGATCGACTAACGAGGCCGCGGTCGGATCCGCTAGCCAAGCCGTGGTCGGATCAGGGAGCGAAGACGAGGTCGGATCGTCCCGAGCCGAAGGCTCACCGATTTCCTCAACCGAACCGAGTACTTGTTCCGCCATAAACAGCAAATTTGTCTACACACAACCAAAACAAAGGATCGAAAGTCAACAATTTCCATCTTCCATCAAGAACAAACATGAACATCAAACCCCTCCTCCATCAACACTCCAAGACCTAGGAGCTAAGAATCAAAGGGTTCCCACTAGCAACTCCATAACCAATACTAGCAATTACTCAAGGCTAAGGCTAATTGACCATGGACTTCTAGATCTAAGAGGATCATGGATTTCTAGATCTAAGAGGATCCTTTCTAAGAAAGGCCTTGAAACAAGAATTCAAAGTGTTAGATGCTTACCAAGGAGGAGCAAAGACGAGATCGGATTGGATAAAGGCAAGGCGGCGGTCGTTTTAACGGCGGTGGCGGTCGGAGCTCGCGATCGGCCACAAGGAGCTCGCGATGGTGCTCTCGGCGGCGGCGAGAGTTAGGGAGAAGT